AAAAAAAAAAAAGAGATTTTCTTGCCTTAGCCGCCCAACTAGCTGGGACTACAGGAACCTGACACAATGCCCAGCTATTTTTGGTTGCAGTTGTCATTGTTGTTTAGCAGGCCCAGGCCAGGCTTAAACCCACCAGTCCCGGTGCATGTGGCCAGTGCCTTACTCACTGAGCTACGGGCACCAAGCCTAAAGAATGTTTCTTAGAGATCATTTTGTGTTGGTGTATATGAATCTATTGGGGCTTAGACTCGACTTTACTAAGTTTGATAGACAGCCTGTCTCCATGCTGCCTTCTGACCAGTTGTTTATGGCCAGAGACTGACACACCGGTTGTTAAATATATTAGCTATCTTGCCTATACTTATCTTCTTATCTGCTGCACTAACTTCCAGTATGGATATACTGTATATAAAAATAAACTCCAAATGGTTTAAGGAGCTACATGTAAAACCAAAATTCTAACCACATTTTTATTCCCTTTACTCTTATTCTTACTAAAAAAGGTTTTATCATACAAGAGTGCATACTGATTCCATAAAATGGTCAATTAGCGCAAAAAGGAAATCATCTGACATCCTTTCACCCAGAGGAAATACAACTGATATTTTGATGAACTTTCTTATAGATGTCTGTCAATGCATATACTTATCTATAGACCCTTAACGCATACGTGTATTACACATACATCCTAGAGTAGACCAAATTCTTCAGAACATAAATAGTCAGGATGTATTCAGAGTTCCCACAACCTACAAACCCAGTTCAACCAGCACCATTTTTACTAAGTTTGATAGACAGCCTGGCTCCATGCTGCCTTCTGACAGCCAGTAAGAATGGCAGTTATAATTACTTAAGCTCTTGTTCCAAACAGGGCCAGAGGCCCATTCTATATTCCTTGAGGAAGCAATCATATTTTTGCATTGAGTCTTCCAGTAATTTCCTATTGGTTTTCCTAGATTTGATCACTACACCATTAAGACTTCATATTTAGCAGTTTAATAAGCGGTTTCAAGATGTGCCACCAGATGACTGCACAGAAAATAGCTAGTTTTACTACAGTTCAAGTACATTTGATAAGAAATTGATAGTCTCTGATCTGTCCTATAACCAATTATTCCATAGTCATCTTTCACAGTGCCACTTTCATTGACTTCAGTAAAATGGTGCCTATTTCTGGATGGCTCTGTATTTTCAGTCGCTAGGTCCAGGTACATTGGTCACTGGGAGATCCCAGTATAGGTCTGTCACCACTTATGAATAAGCACCCTCATGATAACCAATTCTGGACTCTTAAGCTATATTTCACTTACTCAGAGACAAACTGTTAGGAGCACAAGGAATGCTGGTTTGTCTCCTGGGGGGCTCTGCTCTTGTGGAAAGGCAGGCATCTGAGGCACTGAAGGAGGAAAAAGAGCCACCTATAAACTCAGCCTACTTCCTTCACACTCTTTATTCAAGGGACTCCACAAAGAAGCCATCCCTAACCAAATGACTATTTTAAGTTTAAAGGAAAGAATATCATTAACCTAGAAGATACACCTATGACAAAAATCAGTTAGAGGACAAGCCTTAGGAAGGCATGCTCAAAGAATGAGTGCTCCTAAGAACTAAGCATCAGGGGTTAGTGAGTGTGTGTTTACACTGATTACACTGTCTTCCTCCACTAAACTGGAAGACAAGACATGGGTTCTGGGGCTAGGAATTTGGGAGTTGGAATCCCCATACTACTATTTATTAGCTAAGTGATCTCGGGCAAGTTACTTAATCTTTCTGTGCTCCAGCTTTTTCAACTGGTAACAATAACTACTTAGGCTCGGTGACCGTGGCAGAGTGATTACGACACCAGCCACAAACACCGAGGCAGGCAGGTTGGAACCCAGTCTGGGCCTGCCAAACAATAATGACAACTGCAACAAAATATAGCCGGGCGTTGTGGCAGGCGCCTGTAGTCCCAGCTACTTAGGAGGCTGAGGCAAGAGAATTGCTTAAG